CTTTACCTAATAAAATCAGACATGAGTTTGGTGAAGAACTGTGCAGAACGATGAACAAAATGCATATTTGTGTAAATCCCCAGGACTCTCTCTCTCAAGAACACGGGCTTTTTAAAGAGTCAGGTCAAATCCCCCAGAAATCAAGTGAGTCCAGTTATGTTTTCTTTTACTTGCCCGGATTCCCTGCTGAGTAGCTGGCTTGCTGGCAGCATGCTAAGACTGTCATTTGTAAAAAGCAGTCTGCTCAGCTATAATTACTAATTTGATGTCACACTGGAATTGCAGTGCAGCTGTGAAAAGATCGACCACCAGGGAGATTCGAGTTTCTCTGTCTCATTTAGAGGGGGCTAAACTGCTGGAGCCGTGAATGGGAGATGCCCTTCCATTAAAAAGGAAAGAATTAAGGAATAAAACAAGTCATAGCAGCTGTCAGAATCTGACAACGGTTTAAGAAAAAAAAAGCACGTTCTGCTCTTTTTTTTAAAATTCAAGACATCTGTACATGCATGTTCTGATACTTGTTGCCATGAAAGTGATTCCATTATTGTTGGAATATAACTTCTTTCTTTCCTTCAGTTCCAGCTTCATTATTATGCTAATACAAATCACACTAATTACATGTCAAGCTGAAATCGAAGGGATGGGACTTGTCGGCACCTATATCACTAAATATTTGAAATGACGGTTTTAAAACTTGTCATCAACAAGTTAAAAGTATAGGAAATTAAAAGTTATAATGACTCAAATGAAAGAACTAAGAATTCAGATTACTAATTGATGGAGGTTCTCTATGAAAATTGTTCTTTGCACCATGACAATCCTTTTGTAGAGAATATGGTTACACAAGGATAGCAATGAAAATAATATTCTTGCGAATCATTTGGTTTCATTTATAAAAGGCTAAAATGTAGAAAATAAGTATTTTTAACCTTCTCCAAATATTTCTAACCAGAGGTAACAGTGATTGTTTTGATAACATTTATGGTTTTATTTGTGAAGACAAAGAATGGCATGCTTTTTGGAAGAGTCAAAAATATTAACTGATCAGGGAAGGAAAACCTGAAAACTGACAAAAGAAGGAAAGCAAAGACATTTTTAGAACTTAAAAACCCAATGTTTCTAAGAGTTCAGCTCCATTAATACATTTCACTTATTCTTACATATTACAGTTTAGTAAATGTTACCTCAGTTGTCGTGAGATTATAAACAAACTGCCATATCAGAGAGACACGATGCCCCATTGTCAAGGCAGGCACAGGCTCCATCAATGACCAACTTTAATTACTTTTACATTCTATATCTTCAAGCTGTTTCCTCTCGCCCCTTCCCAGTGACTGTCTGTAATCTAGAAGGGCAGGTGGGATGGCCTTTTGGAGCCACTCCTTCTGGAAGAAGAGCTATCATGAACCCCAAGCCCAGAAAGAAGTAGACAGCGTTGAATTCTTCCTCAGGGCAATCGTGTAGACAATTTTACTGTTTACAAAGTGTAAGATATAGTAACAATGTTTTTGTCCATGTAGTGAATGTTTCCTTGTTCATCTTCATGATTCATGGGATCAATATGATTCTTTTGGTAATATGTCCCTTAAAAAAAGGAGAGAGAGAAAACTCCCAAACATTTAGAAGGTGGTACCACATGGTGCTCAGAAATGTGAGCTCTGGGCTGGAACCCTGGCTCCGTCACATCATAACTGTGGCACCGTGGATGAGTTACTTTCTGTCAAGTAACTTCTTTTACTCAAAGGAAATCATAATAGCAGCTACCTCATAAGGTGGTTGTAAGGATTACGTGACCAAATTCATGTAAAATTTAAAACAGTGTCTGGCATATAGTATACACTCAACAAATGTCAGTTACTATTACTTACCTTTCTAAATCCCAATATATCACAATTAACAGTAAAAAAATCAACCCCAGAATAAGGTAAGGTTTCACCTCTGCCATTGACTGTGAGAGGCAGCACGGGCACTTAAGCTTCTGGGTCTCAAATCTGTCACATGCGAGGTAGGGAAACTGAACTCTGACCTCTTAAGGTCCCTCCCATCTCTGACTTCTCTAAGCCCACCCCTAAGGGAGATGTTTTGAGGAACATCTGGCGCATATTCGATACAGGATAAAAGCATCCTGGCAGCATTCTCAGAAAAGTGGGTTTCTGTTAAACAAATTTTATAATTTCATGTCTTTTCACAGAAAGCTACACCACTATAGGGCTAAACATTTTTGGAGAGGTGGGCAGTGGAACTGTGGTGAATGCCATGGGCTTCTGGAAAGTGTGTGGTCTACAGGCAGAACAGTGGAGGGGAAGATAAGGAACTGAATGATCTGCTTCTGATGAAATATTAACAGCTACAAGGACATCAAACACTTGTGGCTTTCCTTCAGACGTGTCCTTGTTTTATGACTCAGGCTTCAGCAGCAACAACCCCATTGGCTACAACTGCGTTTCTTGGCATTGGTTATTGTCAGAGCAGACCAAGCCCTTGGTGATGGAACCTGAAGAAATCAAAATAAACAAAGGAAAAAAAAGGCCGCTAGCAGTAGTCTCAAGGGACTTGGGAACAGAGTAAAAACAGAGCCACCAACGTGGAGTAGTAGATCACGTCCACAGTTTTCCCTCGGGGGCTGGCTTCTTGTTATGATGCTGAAAAGTCTGTGTGGCTCTTTGAATAGTCCAGACTGGGATTTTCTCCTAGGAAAAAATAATACTAAAGCTTGGAGCTTCTCATGGACTAAAACATAAACACCCACTTGAGTCTTTGGCACCTGGAAGAAATGTTTAGTCATAGCAACATGGAAGTCGACCATCCATGGTTTCTGCTTCTTTTGGCCAAAGTTGGTGCCTTCAGGATGATTTACATGGTTGAAGTGTAAAAATATATTCACTAACGCACAGTAAAAAGACAAACTGTCAAAGAAGGATCCACCGTTTCCTTTTCTCTTCCTACCTCCTAACCCACTGCCATCTAGCTTCTGCTCCACCCATCATCATTGACATGGTCACCAGTGATTTCCCTGTTGGTAAGTCCAATGGGTAATTCTCAGTCTTCACCCTACCTGACCTTGCAGAAGCATCCAATTCTGGGAAAGTTCTCTTTCTCTGGTTTCAGGGATACTTCTAGAGTGCAAGTTTCATAAGAGTAGGGGCAGTGTTTGCTGAGGCATTTCTCATAATGCTTGGTAAAATGCCTGCTCATATTAGATGCTCGATAAATATTTGAAGAAATGATCCAGACTTTCCTGGCTCATCTCCTGTCTCTTCGGCTGATCCTTTGCAGGACTCTTCCTTTACCCACTCCTTAAACGATGATGTTCTTCTGGGCTGGTTCTGGACACGCTTCTCTTCTACTCCACACACCCTTCCCAGGTGACCTCATCTACTCTCCTGTCTTTGCTGATCACCCTTCCGGTGAGGTTTCTCATGCCCTTTTTCCCAGCTGAAACCCTCTCTGCAGACTCTCATGCCTATTGGGCATCTCTGTTCTGATGCCTCATTGACATTTCAAACTGTTCCTCCCTCTCTGCTCCCCTTTCAGCCAGTGGAATCAATACCTGCCCAGCTGTCCAAACCGGAAACTGGGAGTCATCCTTAACCCTGCCCTCCCTCCACACACAATCCCCAGCACAATCACCTCCCACATTCAATCTCCGAGTTCTGTGGATTCTTCTTCCTAAATCTCCCTATGATCTGTCCTCTTCCATCATCCCAACTCAGGCCCCCATCTTATCTGGGCTATTTCAACAGCACTTCCAACTGGTCCTGCTGACGTCTGTGGCCTCATCTTACCCTCCAGCTACAGCACCAAGCGCTCCCCCTCTGCACCCTTGCACATGCTGCTCTTTCTTGCCTTTTTCCTTGGCTAACTCCTACTTATCCTTCAGGTTTCCAAACATCACCTCTTCCAGGAAGCCTTACCCTGACCCCACCAAGCCAGAGTTAGGTGCCCTCACTACGTGCTTCCTATCAGAGTGCTTATCACATGATACTGTCATTTCCTCTTTAATGGCTGTATCTTCTGCTGGATGTGTCTGTGTGGTTCACTATTTTAGCCCCTGACACTGGGACAGTAACTGTAAAGATATTCACAAACACTTCTGAATGGATAAAAGTAGATTTCCAAATCTGTAAAACTCAAATCAAAACGGAATGATATCATTCTAAAAGAATTTGATTTAAAAAACAAAAAACTTGAGCCCAGTTTTCAAATGGTCAAAAGACGACACTTCCCAAGGTAATGAGGAGGAATAACCGAGAGGACAGGGGTGCCTTTCAGACAAGCAGACGTCAGTTGTGGTCAGTTTAAGTTTACATCCAGAAAGCTCCTTCCCAAACTCTTATTCGAACTGATCCTTCAAGTTGACTCTGTTTATAATCTTGCATAATAAACGAAATGTGGTTCAAGTATTACCTAATGTGCAGTGACTCAGGAAGAGATAAAAAGATGTTGTCTCCTCATTCCTAATTCTTTAAGCAAAAAAGACTCTAATCGTATCTTAACAGTTTACAGTTGGAAACGAGTTGGAAGCTCCTCCAAGACAGCATTTTACAGGTGAAGTTGAAGCTCAGCAGCCTCATTTTACTAGTGAGAAAACCCAGGCTCAGAGAGGCAAAAAAAAACAAACAAAAAAACCCAACTTAATTCAGGCCATGCCCGGCTAGTTAGCGGTAAGGACCCTGCGCGCTGTACCCACCCGTCGGGATCACAAGTTGGTGCACAGGGAGCAGCTGAGTTTTCAAGACCATGTTGCATGTGAAACGTTTCTTTCAACCACACTTAAAACTAATAACAGTGTCATTATTCAACAGAGGGGTGGCCAGCTACTCGGAGGAAGAGAACTGAAGTAGAACACTCCTCAGTTCAACACTGTGCTTCTCGCTGGGGCAGCAAGAGGAGAACCAGGAAGAACCCAGTGGTGGAAGTCCAGAAAGAACGAATGAAACCAAGAGGCACCGATGCGCAGGCCCACATGACCGCGGTGAGGACTATGTCAGGGTACTCACCTTTTCTTTGTCGCTAGCCTCTCTAGCCACTGTGGAGCCCTGAAACACAAAAACATAATAAAAACATGCACATGTGAGGCATCAGGTTTCACACGTTTAAAATATGCAGACGTTCTGGGGCAGAGCACAGAAGTCAATGAGCACCGAGTTTGCTCCGGAGCCTCATTCTGAGTGAGCTCTGTCCCCTCCCCAGTCACTACGTTCTGCTCAGTGTGCGCTGCTCCTCTGCAGGTATCCTGTCCACTCATCAACCACCCTTTCCCGATCGTGTCACTGTGCTGTCTTTTCCCTGATTCTTGTCCCTCTGCTGGAAATCAGAAAACTTGACAACTACTGAACAATAACTTACTAAACACAGGATCAAAACCACACTCTCCTTCGTGACTCAATTGCTGGAAATGGTTGGTCTTAGGGTCCTCACAGGTGAAGGGGGCCACCAGCTGGCTGCACTGACCAGTGGGGCATGAAATGCCTCTTTTCCCACACAAGGTCCTCCAGATGGGGGCGTGTCCTAGCCCTCTGCCTGCCTCCCTCGCCTGTTTTGGGCTAGTGATGAACATGTCTCCCTCACTTACTCTGAGTAAGACTCTGTGGGTGCTTCACATGGGAGATCCCTTCAGACACACATGTTCACTTGCACCTCGTCTATCCAGGCCCTCGGCTGAGCAAAGAGGTATCAAGTGGAAGCAAATACAGGTCTTGATCTCAGAGATTTCTACTCTACTGCACTGGTTTTCAAAACTCTGCCTCAGAGCTCTGGGGGTGTCCGAGGCGACCAGAGTCCACCTCAGACGGGGGCGCTTGGGGTGGAGTTCAGGAAGAGAAACCTTCTTTTGTTTGTGGAAGATTTTAATGCAAAAGAAATGTGGAAAAACGAAGGCCAGTGAATCCCTAACTATGTCAATACAATAACGGCCGTTTATTTTTTGTGCTCCTCAGTGACCACTTAGCAGTGCCTGACACTCACTGAATACACGGTTGGAGAAGGATCACAGAGCAATTTACTGCTCTCCCTCCCCCTCCAGCACCGGACACCCAGCCACGACTAGGTCAGGGGTGTGATTCGCTTACCTGACCACCTCTTAAATAGCCACTTATTGCCCCGGAATAACTGCATTAGCCAATCATTAAGAGAACTTATATGTAACTCGGGAAAAGTTAAAGTAGCTTCTAGATTGGCCATTCATAAAGAAATCAAAATTGTTACTCTATGACCATCTTCCCTGCCAGTGGCTCAGGCACTGATTAGGATGCGTACCCTGTAATTCACAGATGAGGAGACTCCTCGTATTGGGGAAGGGAGCCTTGACCAGGCCGGAGTCTCCCCCAGGGCAATTCTCCACCCCCCTGGCGCTCAGCATTCCCAGCTCCGGTGGATCTGAGAGACCCTGCTGCCAGCCCAGGGAAAATGCTCAGTTTCTTGGGGACATGTCAGAGGAGCACAAAGCTGACCCACCAAATAAAGAGGGACGGTGTGAATCGTTCATGAAGGAAAACCTGTGGCCTGTTCCATAACCACAGCACGCACCCCTCTGCACAGCTATCCCTTGCAAGGGTCTGTTCCTCCCTTTAGGGATTCTTGAATATGGGTCACAAATACCTTCCTTTACACACTGATTTCTAACAAGGAATGTTCCCAAATTAAAAAAAAAAACTGGGGACATTTGTAATACTTGAGCACTGCCTATGCTACTGGGCAGAGGAAGAAACTATTTATTCCTCTTTGTATCCTTAACCAAGTTTTTGGTGTGCGTGTGTGTTTTCCCTCCTCCAATACAATTTACCCTCCTTCTGATTCTCAGTGAAGCTTCATCCCTATGTAAATACAGATCATTAGCCTGGAAAACACTCATCCAAGTTCAAATTAATTCAGAATAAAAAATTAACACAAAAATAGGAAAGTAAGATTAGTAAGTCAAGGCCAGAGTTTGAGCTATGAATGAAATGATGCCAGATGTCCAGGTTCCATCACCGCTGAAAGTCCTGGCAAGAACAGAATTTATTTATTCTACCAGCTAAAAAGGGAGACGAAATTATGAAGTTCAAGGCAAATTCAAACTATACTGTCCAGTCTATAAGTATAATTTACATCAAGATACGTTTACTAGATGCCTACTTGAACGAGGCACTATCTTAGGCATTTCAGGGGGATAAACAAGAAAGTAGGACAAAAATTTGCCTGTAAGGCACTTACTCAGTAGCAGAATGGATGAGACAACCATATTTCATTGACCAATTCCCATATGCTATGCATTATGCTGGACAGGACATATCCATATCTCATTTAACCCTCACAACAACCCAGCAAAGGTAGGTAAAATTATCCCTTTTACAGATGAAGAAACTGAAGGTCATTAAGGTTCAGCAACTTGCACACAGCTGACAAGTGATAAAACCAGGACATGTGGCTTCAGAGGTCACTCTGGTTTCTTACATAGGCAAGTCAGACAAGCGAAGAGTCCTGTAATCCTCAACCGAGTACACTAAGTAGCACGGCAAAGGCTTCGAGAGAGAGATGGTGCTGGAAAAGTGGTGTGTAAGAGGGTGGGGATTTCTACCAGGGGCAATTCCAGGGAACAAAATGGCTATGACTTGGAGGCAGACTGAGCAAGGCTGTATTTGGGAAGCTTATATGGTTTATCCCAACTCCAGAGGGTAGGAGATGAGCCTAGACCATTTTCCCTCCCTTAGACTAGCTTTTCTCAAAGTGTGGTTCAGCACCCTGGGGTCTCAAGACCCTTTCAGGGGTCTGCAAAGTCAAACCTAGCTTTACAGTAATAGTGAGACAGTATTTGCCTTTTTCACCATCTTGATATTTGCATGGAGATTGCAAAAACAATGATGGGTAAAACTGGTGGCAGCTTAGCACAAATCCAGCAGTGGCACCAAATGGTACTAGTAGAGTTTGTCATAAAATATATATACATATATGAATATCCTTGATGAAGCAATGAAATTAGTTTTATTAAATCTTGACCCTGGAGTACACATCTTGTCGATATTCTGTGTGGGAAGTATACAATACGCACTTCTGTTTATAAAAAAGGAATGGCTTAAGAACAGTCATTTTTGTGATGGTTTGAGTTATGACCTAAACTAGCCGTGTTTTTATGAAATAACATTTTTACTTGACAGAATAACTGGCCATCTATGTTTATTCAGATCTAGGCATTTGGAATATATTTGCTCAAAGATGAACAAAGCTGCTGAGCTCATGTCGGGGGGCTGTGCGCTGTCACTTCACAGAAAACAACTGACAGAACTTGTTGCCAGTGGTAAAATTTGAGCTTTCAAGTGAAAATTAGAATTTTAAAAAACTTGTATTCACCACTCTGAGCTTGACAGCTTCTCAATACTCAGACTTTTCTGATGAGACTGGTGATGATATTAATGTGACTTCTTGATATTGTACAGTCACGCCTTGCTTATTGACAGGGATACGTTCTGACCGAGAAACTCGTTGTTAGGCAATTTTGTCACTGTGTGAACATCACAGAGTGTATTTACACAAACCTAGAGGGTATAGCCTACTGCAGACCTAGGCTGTATGGTGCTAATCTTATGGGACCACTATCATATATGTGGTCCGTCGTTGATGGAAACGTCCTTATGTGGTGCATGACTGTACAATGAAATGTGTCTGTTATTTGGAAGAGCACGTACTCAGTGAACCCATCCGTTCCAAATGACCAAAGCATGATGTATTTAGAGCAATGCATGCAGACCAGTGGATTTTAATGATTCCACATTGAAACTAAGCTTTGAGGAATTACCACTTGTCAGGTTTTGGTATAATATCAAAGTAGAATATCCACAAATTTCTGAAAAAGTTAAAACATCCTCCTCTCCTTTTCTAACTACATATTTGTTTAAGGTCTGATTTTCTTCATATACTTCAATCAAATAACAGATACTCCAACTGTCTCATATTAAGTCAGACATTAAAGAGATTTGCAAAAACGTGAAACAATGCCACCTGTCACTAAATTTTTTGATTTGGAAGATACTATAGTTATTTTTCATAAAAGTATGCTAACATAATAGTAATAATAATACATAATTTTATTATTTTAAATTAAAATAAGTATTAAAAATTTTCTCATATTAATTTCTAACATTGTAAATCTCAGTAGACATAATCTACATAAGCACAAGCTTTTGGGGGTCCTCTTTTAAGAGTGTGAAGGAATCTGAGATAAAAAAATTTGAGATCCACTGACAAAGACCAAAGAGGTTGGCAAACTTTTTCTGAAAAGAGTCAGAGGGTAAATGTTTTAAGCTTTGTGGTCCACAATGGTCTCTGTAGTAACTACTCAATTCTGCCATTATAATGTGACAGCAGCATACACAACACAGAAACAATGATCACGGCAGTATTCCAATAAAACTTTATTTACAAAAATGGCCAAGGTGGATTTGCCATGCAGGCAGGTCATAGCACACCAACTCCTAACCTGGACATTCTCCATCTAAGTCAGTGATCCTAGAAGTCAGATCATCTCACTCCACTCTCACAATTTCCAGCAGAAGGCCTCTTACTCAATGCCAATGAAATAGCCTGTCTCAGGGCCTGTTCCCTCTTCTGGAAATGTCCTTCCCTCAGCTCATTCCCTCACCTCCTTCAGGTCTGCTCCAGTGCCATCCTCCCAGTGAAACCTTCCCTGACACCCTATTTAAAACTGTATCCCTTCCCCAGCCTTCCTCATCTTTACTTCTATCCATGGCATTTATCACTTCCTAATATGCTAGATGATTGACTTAGCACTGTTGGTTATTGTCTGTCTCTTCCCACCAGAATATCAGTGCCTTGAGCACATGTTTGGTCTGTTTTTTTCATCACACTATTCCCAGCACCTGAAACAGTGCCTGGTACGTAGTTGGTGTTTAAGAAATACTTGTTGAATAAATTAGACATGATACCTCTAATATGTTCAAGGGTCTTCTGGCAAAGCCAGCAAGTGATCCTTGCTCAACACGAAGGAGTGCACGGCTCGTTGCCTGGTAGCTTTAAGCTCTGAGCACCTCCTGAGCATTTAGCACAATCAATTACAACATTTACAATGTGGATGAGTAAGCTTCATTACTTAATACAAATCAACAAAATCAATCTCACCTTTAAGTCGTATTTCCTATATACAGATAAACGGTGGCTGAACACATTTCTTGTAACAATCACATAGATTTCAACTCCATCAACATTAAGCCGGTACATGCCCAAGAATTGAGGAAGAAGGGTGATCCCATGACATTCCACTATATACTGCATAGGAGAGAAAGAAATAGGGAAAAAAAAATTATCCAATCAAAAGGTGCTTGTTCAGATGTAAAATATAACTCTTTCGCTCATGGTGTTTATACAAAGTGAAACTCTCCAACCATGAAGGTCCTATTTGCAGAAAATGACCATGTTTGTACTATTTGGCAAGGATCTGTGTTGACCATATATACACAGCTAAGAAAATTCGACTTTACCTCCAAAGAGATATTTTTTCCTAACATTCTAAACTAATTTGTCAAGTCAAAACTGGGATATAATATAATTGTGGAGAGAGCCCAGTGTTGGAAGCTGGGAGGGTTGGGCTCTAGTCCTAGCTTTTCTGTTCATCACTGAGATTGTAATGTCTGGGGAAGCTAAGCTTCCCAGCACAGCAACGGTCTGAAGGGAGGGTGCTGTGCTACCATGGAGCACTTGCTCCTGTTCTAGACACACGGAGATTCTCTGGCCCCACGTTGGGTTTCATCAAGTCCATTAGATGAGTCCCAGCTTTGACCCCATTTCCAATTAGTGTTGCAAAAATACAACACGAGTCTATAAGTCTTTAATGGCCGTACTCTAAAAGGCCACAAGATGGAGACACTTCTTAAAAGCATATCTTTATAAAATGGGTCCCACTTTACAAAGGAAAGTCAGGTTTTCCTTTCTTTCAAATGAGGGAGGAAGAAGATTTCAAAAAAGCTCTTTTATGTCCACGACACGTGTGTGAAATCTCTAAGCTATTGAATAGCATGAAGAGTATGAATCCAAAACTATAAAAATTGTACACGCTGCACGTATTTACAGAGAGATGCCTGGAAGAATGGTCAGCAAATGAAAATGGTAGAATTTTGGATAACTTTGCTTTCTTTCTTTTTTTTTAAATTATACTGCTTGAATTTTTCTGTTTTACAATGAGCATTTTATACAAGTAAGAAAGTAATTAGAATGCCCTTTCAAAATTTTTACTGGTAAACACCATCAATAAGCAACTCTCATAATATTTAACCATCTCAAGAGTTAAAAAGCCTTTAGCTTTTATCATTAAAAAAAAGATGAACAGCATCAGTATATAAGTTTGAGTTTTGCCACCCAGAATTTTGGCAGATTTTTAAGGACGCTCTGCCCTTTTTTTTTTAATCTTACTGACCATACCTGAGCTATGTATTTCAATTTGATATATCTTCTGAGTAGAGTTTCACCTCAACTTGTTCTTAATTTGAAGTCAGACCAGTGGAACATTTTCTATTTCTCTCCTTTTGAAAAACAGTAAATTAACTTGAATTTTGCTTATGCAAAACAGGTGGTAAAAAGCCCTTGGTTGAAAATAAAATTTCTCACATCTGATCTAAAGAAATGAAAAGGGTTGTTATCCCTCACCTCTGAAGAAAGATGGCTGGGTGGGCCTTAAAGATGGGCCTTAAAAACACGGAGACTATGGGAGTCTACACTGCATAAGCACGTCCACAGAACATAGGTTTGCGAGCCAGAAAGATGTGTGTATGTATCCTGGTGCCTCCATTTACCAGCTGTGGGGTCTTGGGCAAGTTACTAAATCACTCTTCATTTTAGTTTCACTTTCTGGAAAATGAGCAATATAGTTCCTACCATGAAGGTTATTGTAAGAATTACAGATAATAGTACATCAGAATACTTCACACGATACCTGTGTACTGTACTATACTCTTCCTCCCACTGCAGATGACAATAATAACAATTATTTTCATTCAAAACGCAGATAAGAAACTTGAACACTACACGCATCTGCTTTGTGCTCCAAACCAACTCACGGGTGTGTTCTGGCATCTACTCTGAGGAAGCTCACGTGACCCCTGCCCTGGTGGGACACACACTAGTTTCAGTGTGGCCGTTCAACCCCGCTCTGTGGTCTTCTGCTCAGATTATTCTCATCATGGCCTATCTTTTAAAAGTCCTGCCAGTAGAATAAGTCTCTTTGATTAAAATCTGTCTACAGGCCACAGAACACCATGGAACAGAGTGGATATTAATCATTAATCATGTTGATGAATACGTTAAAGAAACCTGAATACTATACAGGAAATCACTGACAACGTTTTTTTTTCCTAGGGAAAAACACCCACACAGATTACATTCTACAATTCCTCTGTCTTTAAGATTAAATAAATTACTACATATAAAAAATAGAACAAATTTGATCTCCTTCATCAGCAAGTTTCTACATGCACTCATTCTCAAAGGCATGGCTCACCTATGAAGGTTTTTGATGAACATCTTGAAAAATATAGATTTAATAAACTTAAAATTCCTTAGTAAATAACTATGTACAAAACTACAAACCATATTCAAGTTTCTCACATTAGATTCTAGTATTGATAAGCAGCAGTTGGTGCCAAAGGTTTAGAAAGCATTTAAGTGTCAAACTTTGCAGAAGAGAAAATTCTAACCATTTATTGAATTTCTACATGGGAGCACTGGGACAACACACTGTTTCATTTTAGTAGAGGAACGTTTCACTGGGTCTTTGAGGACCAGGGTTGAGGGACCACTGTACTCTAGCATATGTGTCACTGCAGGTGAGAGTTGACATAAAGAAGCCTGAATGTTAATCCTCTCAGATTCTTCACCAGCTGACCCAGGCAATACTGTGCACAAACTCTAACACCAGTGGGCACAGCTACAAGGATTCTGACCCACACACACTGCTAGAGGTAATCCCACAACCAGGGAGATGGTAAATTCATAGCCACAGCTTTGGCTGAGCTCTCGGCATGACTCAGCCACATCATGCTGCTGGGAGCCCTCTGGGTCCAGCTCCACATTCACTAGCTGTGTGACCTTGGGTGAATTATTCAACCTCTCTGTATCTCTGCATTTGCAGAAGAGGGTAATAATAATACTTAGCACAGAGGGTTCTGTGAAGAACATGAAGATCAGGGACATGGGACTCACAGGACTGCCAATGACTCTAGCAGGAGCAAGATGAAACCGAGACCCTGGGACAAGGGGTGGAAAAGGAAGGAAGGAAGGTGCAAGGGAGGGAGACTTCTAAGAGCACCTGATGTGTTCCTAAAATGCTCTCTGAGAAATGGATTCTATTTTAAATGCATGATAGGAACTCCCAATTTCAAGGAATCTCCACAGAACAAAGACTTTCCCAAAAAATGAACAATGTTGCATGTGCGTGTGTGTACGTATTTGCTCATAAGGTGAGGAAATATTTTTGTAAATATCAAAGAAACACTAAAAAATTATATTCCTCACTCATGTTGCTTTTAGGATCAGAACTCTGAACACTTTTGCTAGAACACAGGCTGTGTATATACAATCCTGAAGAGCGTTCCTTTCAGTGGCTCCTCAAATATGGCATCTTCCTCGGCCAGTTATTTCCACCTTTCGGGGTTCTCTCGCTCACCTGCAGCCCTGCTCTTCTCTCACGTCAAACAGAGAAGCTCTGCCTGGCACCTGGAGTGGCGCTTTCAGATGCTTGTAACTCAGCGATGACACTGAGATTTCATCTGAATAGGCACTGAATGTTCACTCCCCAATTTTTAAAAGTGAACTTGATAATTATCAATTCTTATTATGCTTACTATATGGAGCGATTCAACCACAATTATTCTTGGGGTCAGCTTCCAAATTCTCAGTGTTAAACTCACTGCATTACCTACGTTTGCATTTTAAAATGTTGTTTTTATTAAGGATTTTTCACTTTTGCATTTTCATAGCTGGACACCCCATGTCCCCTTGCTCTGTTGTTTATCATGCAGTGGCTTCTGTTTTTTTCAACAGTGTTCTCAGAAGCTTATATTTGCTGGCATTGTTTTGTCTGCAACCTGTATTTCCAACACTAACAGATTTTACTTTTTTCTGTCTTCTTTTAAAAAATCCACTTGTAAACGATTCCATGGTGTCATCAATAAAACCAAATTTTATCTCTTCATTAAGTCTCCCTTAGAACTTTTTCCTGAAAAACTGCGGCCTTGTTAGAACTGTAATGCAGTGATAAATTGATGTGGTGGAATCAGAATTTTAAAACCATATGAAATGCAACAGCCACAAGACCTGTTTCCTTTGCTCTCAGATGCTCAACAAGAATAACAAGTATTATGAATCCCCAATTTGTGGCTCTTCTCATGCAAAATGAAATGCCATTAACAGGTTCACAGCTGACTGAAGGTTTCAGCAGAGAGGACTAAGTGATGTACCGCAACAGATAAATATTTATATCTCCACATGGTAGTGTGAAGCTGGGCTCTGGCTTTTGGAAATTGCTGTTATTATCACGTTTCTCCCGTTTTTTCAGAGGCCTGAAGTGACAATTTAATATAGCATCAAATTAATACTTCAATGTAAAGTCTTGTTTCAGTTAATGTTTTTGAAAGGTTAAATTATCTGTAATCCTTATTTGTGCCTCTGGCTATGTTTATAGATCACTCCAACAACATACTTGACATAAAAGAAAGACAGAGAGAGAGAGAGAGAGAAAGACACAGAAAGAGAGGGAAAGAGAGAAAGGAGGAAAGTCAGCCAGCCTGAAAGTAAGGAGTACTTTGTTTTAGAAGGACCAAATAAACAAATAATCCAAACTTTCCTTGAATTGATATTTTGGGATAATGGTCTATAAGAGTTAGTTAATATAATTTATTTTGGTTTCAAATAGTTTTGAAGTCAAAAAAGGAATGTAAAAGTGACTACATTGAAGCTAATATAAATACAAAACTCTACTGCTTTTCTTAAACTTTATATCAGGCTTAAAAGGAACAAACATTCCTCTGCAGTGTTTACAAACATTCTTAGTACTGAGATAACGCAGAATACACTCGAATGCAAACACTGGTGCTCCTAATTTTGTTTGTTACACTATAATAAAGACCCATAAGTAACATCGTCCTTAAAGATGAAACGACTGTAAAACATACTCTATCATAAGTACAGATGGCGTTTACTCACTGACTACAATTAAAACGCAGAATGGCTGCTCCAAGCCTCACCCTGGTGAGGAGCTGGGAGAGGCCTTGCTGCCC